ATCTTTAAAAGGATGTCTCAAGTCATGTAGCAGTCCATGTTCTCGTCGTGCAAATCTAAAAATCCATAATGTCACACTTCATGAAACATGCACTAAATCTCAAATCACTTACTCTGACATCTGATCCTTGGCCTCCTCTCCAATCAGTATCTCCCTGTCTGTGAAAGCCACGCAACTGGGTGTGGCGCGGTTTGCGCATATTTTTTTTACACAACTGTTTAACCATTTTCGCGAAAAAATTCCAAGAAGTGCTCTGGTGAAAGAGTCTAAGTCGTCAGCGCACTTACAAGCACGTACACCCAGGGAAGGGAAGATGATAGAAAGGGGAAACAAGGATAGTGGATAGGATATGGAGAAGGGGAAAAAAGGAAATACATAAGGAAAGAGAAGAGGATAAGTCAAAGGAAGAACATAGAAATACATAATTGAAGAGCTAAGAGGATCATAGATCTAGACTATGGAAAAACAGGGAAATACATAAAGAAGGAGAAACTTAATCAGATTAAAACACAGAAATAGATGATCGACGAAGGAGAAGAGGATAGATTGAAGGAAAAACAAAGAAATACATAAAACAAAAGAGAAGAGGTTAGAATGAAGGCGAACAAAAGAAATACATAACGAAGGAGAACTGGGGGATATAGATTGAAGGAAAAACAAATATAACCAAGGAGAAAAAGGATAGATTGAAGGGGAAAAAAGAAATACATGACAAAAGAGAAGAGGATAGATTGAAGGAGAACACAGAAATACATAATGAAAGAGAAGAGAGGATAGATTTAACCCGAAACAAATAACGAGTAAAACTATGTAGACCCTATACACATGTACAGCTCCAGCGATTATCCAACACAATTGCGAAGGGTAATGCTAGACTCTGTCTCTAGTCGTTTGCACAGTATATTTGACTGAAGTGGCTAAACAGTTGTGTAAAAAAAAATATGCGCGTCCGGCGGTTTCCATAGTCATTGGGAATGATCTCCACCGTCCCATTCTGGAAGACTCCTACACAGGAACACGATGTACCCGAATCAATCCCAATCACTGGTAATTTTCCTGAAGCCATTGTATTTTATTTTATCTCGAGCTGCCTGGTACCTAAAATATCAACTTTGAAGATGTCCAAAATAAGCGCTACCTGCCGCAATAAATTCGGAAGTGTCTTGATGTATGGGTTATAAATTCCACAATATATTTCTACTTGGTGATAATTTGCAGAATCGTTTGCTCTGAATAATTTGATAATCGAAGCTTCAAGTAAACTTTGACAAAGCGACGATTTTTTTTTTTAAATGGCAAATGTTCGTCATCTATTTGTCTGCAGCTCTTCTTTCGTATGACGTTGTGCACATTAACTGACAAATCGACGTTTATATCAACTTGTAATGAAATATTCTTCCAATTATAGAAGAGTATAGTCCTCATGTTTAACCAATGTGTTCTGCGTCTGAAAATTACTGACAAAATGAACAGCGTTTACAATTGTATTTCATATAGCGAGCTGAATAGGCATAATATATCATTGACCCTTGGCTAGACTACATGTATTAATTGTTGTGTAAAAGTACAATGTGTGTTGTGTAGTGGTCTATGATTGAATTCATCCCGATATATCATTGTCCGTTTGAGCGGATTTTCGATCTTATTTTAAACATGTCACTTCCGATATACTGGAATATTCTCGATTGAAACAGGAAAAATAAAAACAATTAGGATATTCAAATTCCTGCGATGTAGAGCGTAAAGTACATGTATATAGACAGTATAGCACCTGGCACCTCCCCCAAACCCCCAGCCTCGGGGGGGGGGGGGGGGGGGGGGGGGGGGGTGGTAGCGGAGGGAGTAAGGGAGTGGGGGGGGGAACACTGCATAGTATATCAAACAACCCTTGACATCAACAACAGTAAACTAAAGAGTACTATTTAAACCCAAAAGGTGTTGAACATCACCCGCATTACACAAAAAGTACTTTCTCAAGAAGGTAGTCTAATTGAATTGTAAACTCGTGAGCTGCCCCTTCCAGTGTATTCTGCTTTCTATCCTCACTATTGTAAAGGCCGTAAAGGCTAATTCAATTAATAATCGTCAGAATGCAGGGTTAAACATTCTTGAACATGCCTTTCAGGAAGCATTTTGACTGTCAAATCAACCAGCAGAGATAAAGACGGTCTGAATTGTATTCCTACTAAAGTTTTCAATACGATCACGAATGGCTTAAGAACAATTTTATTAACCATGGCCTTGACATAATTTTATTTTGAAGATTTATTTTCATTACTTCATTTTCAAGATAAGATAACATAACATAACAAGATAATAACATGACAAAGTAACATACCATTACATAACAATGACAATCGTAAAGGGAAGTTTATATATTTTTTTAATAAAAAGGGGGAAAACCTCCTCCCTGCAATCCCCCCCCCCCCCCACCATGCCCCCACGCCGCTAACGAACCATGTAATGTTATTATATACTGAGAACTAGTGGCGTAGTCTAGGCTCAGTCATGGGGGGAGCAGTCTTTAGTCTACGATATCAGTGTTTTTTAAAACATTTTTTTGGGTCACGGCACCCTTTTAAGAATTAAAAATAGCTTTTCGCCATGCCAATCCCAAACCCATCACAAAACGTTCTTTTTACATTTCTCTGGCACTCGTCATTGCCATATGCACGCGTACGGGCATTGACTCAAAACTTTGCGAGTGAGCGAGCGAAGAAAATGAGAATTTTAAAAATGGTAAATAATTATTTAGTAATCAACACACTAGATAAGATATATAATAATGCATGCGGGCACCTCGCCGAGAAATATACGTGAATACAAAAACTCATATATTCGGTCCTCTCCATACATGAATATGAGGATATTCAGCCATCTCATTGCCTAGAATTATCCTGATGCTAAATGGTGCAAGTGCGTAAAGCGAATGATGTGGGGAAACGTTATTTCGGTAGGAAAAATATAAGATATATTTGGGTACCTCGCTGTCAAATAGAAGGACATTCGGGCTCAGACCTCGTTGCCCACATGTCGAGATGTATAGGCACTTGGTTGCCTTAGATCATCATGTTTCTAAACTTTGCGAGCGAGCGAAGGGAGTGAGGAAGAAAGACTCATTAACATCTTCAAAATGCTTCTTCCCAGTGTAATTAAAAACTGTAGATGTTTCTAATCTTCGGTTTTTATGAAATCGACTTTATTCCATCAACATTAAACAAGAAATATATAACATTTCTCCAGTGGCACCCCTATATGTCTTGCAGCACCCTGGTTGAAATACGCTGTTCCAGATGGTCAACATTTGAGGGGGCAGATTGACCTGGGCCCCGTCTTACAAAGAGTTACGATCGATCCAAATCAATCGTAAGTCCTCCAATCAATCGCAAGTTTGCAATCTCCTATCTCTTATGTACATAGTTACGATTGATATCAATCGCAAATAAGTTACGATTGATATCAACTCTTTGTAAGACGGGGCCCAGGCCGGGAGGGGATTTACTCCTTGCCCCTTTAGAGTGGGAAAATGTTGCATTTTAAAGTGAAACGGACACAAGTACATACTCTCTTTGTCTCTTTTCCTGTATGTCTTCTATCTTTCACTCCAATTTCCATTTCGTTTTCTTCTCTGCTGTACACTACATCAAGGATACAGATCTGAACATTCAAAAACATTTTCGATAATTTGACTAAAAATTGGTAATACTAGGGAGATGTGAGTTTTTACTGCTAAAATCTACCTAAAAAATCATTCACAAATGCTAGCATTAACACAAAGAGTTAAATGAGAATCCTTATAGGGGTAGCCTACTCTAAATGAGTAATAAAGATACCCCAACAAAGGAGGGAAACAATTTGTCATTGACTGGAGAAGCAGGGAAGGGGGACCTTTGCACCACACAATTCCTATTTAATTAACAACATTTTATACCATTCCAATTTACAACATAATGAAGAATATAATAACAAGGAAAGATTGCACATAAAAACTGGCAGACCAGATGTGAAGGAAATGATTAAGATTGTGACCAATGACCATAACTCGAAGCCACTCGATTACAACAAATATGTCTTTGATCTCAGCTATTCAACTCATTTTAGCTATAACCGCATATTGGCATGGCGAATTCAGCCATATGTCACAAAAACAGAAAATATCCAAGGTTTTAATAGAAAGGAGGAAGTAATAATACATCAGTTGAAACTAGGGAAATACAAATTCAATTATGATCAGCACATTATTAATCAACCATGAAGATGGACCATGTATCCATTGTAAGGTTTCAGAAGCTATAGAGCATTTTTTTTACTACAATGCAAGAAATATAAAAGAGTAAGAAGGATAATGCAAAGACGATTGAAATGTAATACGTTAGATTTAGTAAAATTATTAGGGAATTTATCGGATTTTAGAGTCCTCTTAGATTATATTAAAGATACAAACAGATTTGGAATTTTTGTATAGATATAGTGCGCTTTCCTCTGTGAGTATAATGATTGGAATGTTTGATTATCATCAATATTAAAATCATAAGGATGACATCCTTATGATTAAAATACACGACTAATGGTGAAGAGAAATTCAATCTAATTAATCTTTCACAGTAGCACTTCGCTGATCGAGACAGGTGAGCCAACTCTTAACTCGAAAACAGAAGTCTGGAAAGACAGAGCCCCATCAGTTAGTGAGCCATGAGATCCAGTTCGACAAGATGATGAACATGCACCAAAGAAGGAACGCCGTGGCGCAGATAATCTGTCAAGATTGAAGAGCGCCATCTAAACGCCAATAACAACAACAATCATACGCTCATTCGCTCAGCGTAATATCCAGTCTACAGGATCACACAGAACTCGCTCTCAACTATCAATCAATCATACAATTTTAGGGGATTCCCTATGAGGTAATCATAAGAACGCGCGCGCGTCCGCACGATATAGGTCGTGGCCAAAGGTCGTGGCCGTGGCCTTCATAGCTAGACTAGACAAATACAGTACTAGTGGCATGCATTACGTGCGCAACGACCCCGATGTCACAGTCTTATTTTCAGCTGATTTCTCGCTATTGACGTAGAATCTTGATTTCCATCATCCATGCAAGCTGCCCAGGCTGTAGACAGAAATGACACTTGCGTGAATAGGAAACCACCATTCGCTCGGATCCGATCCGCACAGTACAATTTCTTTCTTGAATTCTTCCCATCGGCCACCAGGCCATGCCACTCCACAGGTCAGACGTTAGCCTGTAGGCCTAATCAGTACAGTAGTAGCGCTTAACTGTAAACAAGCTTGTGCATGCGGATATCGGATGAACGAGTGGTTTCCAAAACCACGATATAGTCATTGAAAATAACCATCTGGTGAGTATGGGGTTATTTTTCTTATAACTAACATTTGTCAACCTTCTATAAGGCAATTTGCTCTTTATTGTTGACCCATTCTCGTACAGTGTCACTCGTAATTTGCTGTTTGTGTATTTTATTTTAGTACGTTTACCCGAGAGTCTGCAAGAATGCTGTTCCCCCGTAATGCCCTTTTGCTTACCGTATGTTAATTGAGAGCTGATTTGATTAGATAACCACCTACCAGTGACCTTGCAGGGAGGTCTAATCCCTCCGTGCCAAACTAGTGCAGAGGGGCCTCAATATGTGACAACTGAGCGAAATGAAGCGCCATTTTTTAGAACTGAAAATATTGCAGTAGGCAAGCCTCTCGTCAAGAAATTAAAAACGCGTGGTGCGACCCCCCCCCCCCCCCCCCCAAATTTTTTTATTTTTTTATTTATTTTTTAAATTAATTGTTTAAATTTGTTTTTTAAAAGAACTTCTTCTTCATCTTCCTTTTGAGTACAGACCTTTTACAGAGTATTATCGTACTATACTGGGGGTGTGCAGGTGGACAAGTATTACAAGTCATTTGATGAATTTTTATCATGGTATTATATTCCGGGTCATTGTCATATTTACCCTTGCACTAAATAATCTAAATTATCAATGTTATTCTATGTTGGACTTTGTGAAATTTGTTATCCAATGTTTCGAAGAAAACAAAATGAGAATGATCCTAGTTGTTTGGATTTTTTAAAGCTGTAATTATTTTCCTTACCGATATATTAAAAACAATATTGCATTTTCTTATTTTCACAAAATTTGCAGTACCGTACTCAAATTTCTGCAAGTCTTTTACTTTATATTTGAGTAAAATAAATTCTCTGTCTCAAAATGAAATTATACACCCGTCAATGAAAGTTTGATTCGAGGTCAACACACACACGGACTAGGTCGCTGCGCTAAGCTATGTGCACACAATACCATACCTGTCAACCCTTACGAATAATTCAGAATATTCTGTTTTTGGAGATTTCTAGGACCTGAAAATCCGGAATACCGTATTTGCCGGCGTAAAGGCCGCAGTATTTTTGGAAGAGAAAATATCAAAAAGTCGGGGTGCGGCCTTTACGGCGAAAGAGTAAAAAAACAAAAAACTCGAGTCAAAACCAGCACGAATTCGCACATATGGGACTACGAACGGTACAATAACTATACCACTATGGTACAGGACATTTCAACACATCTTACCGACAATTTTATCTTGCATTGTTGACATGAATAGGAAAATAAATTGCTAAACCAATATTTGCCGATAGATCTTGATCTAAGTTTGTGCCAATGCATTGCAAAATAAATTGGTATGGGCCGGTACTGTGAAAATATCTTGAAGTTGCCTGCAACTTCCAACTGTAAGTCAACCAAGTTTACTGGACCGCAGCAGCCACAGCGTAAAACAGACGATCGATGGCTCATTTTGCATTTATGGTATACACGCCTTTTCCTTCAACAGATTCCCTATTTCCATTCTCACCAGTGCCTTTTTTCATATCTGTTAAGGAGTTTTCAGGTGTAAGAAGTGCCCCATTTCTGATAAGTGCCTACTTTTCCTTTCTCCATAACATGCACCCCTAATTTAAAGTGACTTTTTCTTTAATATTCATTATAGCTTGCTCGCTACGCATGCTCACGTTTGTAGTTGTTATAATTATGTTACCTATAAAAGAACTGTTCAGTCTTTCTTTTATATTAGACTGTGCTTTAAAATTCTATCAGAGTTGTTTTTTGTCCTCATTTATATGATTTAATTTTTCGCAATGGGACCTCACAAATCTTAAATTTTTTGCTTTCTCGCTCAAAAATATTAATATAAATATAAATATTAATATTAATATTAATATTGATATTCAAACCGTCACACCCAAATGCAAACTTTGTTGCTTAAGCAGTATCTTGTACCACATAAAGAGAGAAAAAATATTGATGTCATCCCTGGTAGTGTAATCACAATCATGACGATGTAGGGGTATAGTTCAATGTCTAAAAAATGGTGTGTTCACTTTGGGGTTTCCCTTTGTTGGTGCCCCCCCCCCTCACTTTGGAAGACGCTAAGACGCCCCTGCTATATATCATATATGGCTAAATCTGTAATGTCGCTGTGACCTAGTGCCCTACAACTTTGCTATTTGTTTCAAAACTCAAAATTACCAAAATTTCAGCTTTTCAAAAACGTCCTATGATGGTGTGCTATCCATAATATATTATGAGCAGTGCCCCAATGGAGAATTAGAAGGAAAAAACAATATTTTTTGTACGTAACAAACAGAAGAGTTGTCCATGATTACGACACAATCCACAGACCAAATTACAAATTTGAGATACACATAGATTTAGTATTCTCATATTTAAAACATTCATAATTTTTTATTGAGTTGACTCAATTTCATTTCAACTTTCACCAGTTTCGTTATTCAAAATTTCTGCTTTCTGTAAGAGCAGTTATTAGCTATTAGGATTGGATTTTCATTTAAAACCTGACTTTAATGTCCTGGGGGTCAGTTAAACACACCGACTCACAGCCTTGGCTGTCGAAGACAAAAAAAAAAATAATATTAAAGAGAGAAAGAATTTTGGGAGAGAAGCATCCCCCCCCCCCCCCTCTCGAGATCTGGTGCAAGTGTGTTTTCACACTGTTGAAATCTATAAATTCCACCATTTACAGCTGTATATGACATCACCATGCTCTTGTGTCAATTCCCATAATATTATTTCTTTGTATATGTATACACCCTATACAATCAGAATATTCCCAAGATGATATTTAATTAGCTTTACTAGTAATCATAAACCCTTTAAATATATATATATTTTGTCAGAGATGGGTACATCCCCCCCCCCCCGAATATAATACATTTCTATGTGGTGCCAAGTGTTACACATGTGATTCTGTCACAAAATAAATGTTTTGTCACCAAATCAATCTCACCATTTGATTTTGTCACAAAAGCAATCTCACAAATTGATTTTTATCACGAAATCACTTGATGAGATTGCTTTTTGTGATAAAACATTGATTTTGTGACAGAATCACATGTGTAACACTTGGGGCCCCGTACATTTCAGCCCCTTCTATCTTTAAATATAGTTCAGTATTATATCACACAAGTCAAGTCAAGAGGCAAATGTTTGGATAAGGAAAAAAAGTTTTAAAAGTAATCCATTTTATGTACACTGTAAATACATGTCGCTTATATTCATATAGTAAGTAGAATCCCCTTTTTTTGTCCATTACAGGATGTCTTGCTGGGGCTATCATTCATGTACCTTTTCAGCGGACTGAGTTTCTGTCGAATGAGAAGGATATCTTGCACCATGGACGGATTCTGCCTTCTCTATCTGCTCTTGATCCTCCTGATGAGATCTGGTGATGTTGAAACCAACCCTGGACCAGACAGGTCAGTATATATATATATTTGAAGCTTACTTTCAGTTCTTTGTTGCCACAGTAATGAGCAGTAGGGATATTAAAGTACTTTTCTTATTAAAGCATAACACCACATACTATTTTTCTTCCATATATTCAAGTGCAATGCTTAATGAGGTATAAGCCTTGTGTGTGCATGCTTCAATATACCTTTAAATAAATCTTATCAGTACACGTACCTTAATAAAATCACATGAAGCTGCAGGTACTGACAGCTAGTGCTCAACTGTAGGAGCTAGTGTACTATATTTGTAGGCTGGAGTAGTTTATTCTTCCATGTACTTAGTTGTACAGTCTGTTTTGCCCAAAAGCTCATCAAGAACTGAACTAAACTTACAAAGTATGAAGAAAGGTGCTTTAATGAATTATACAGTAGGGGTTACAACACAATAAGAGACACTTAAGGTCCCTCTAAAGTGTTGGGAGCCCCAAGAATTTGATGGCAAAATTTCACTCAAATTGTATCACAATGTGAAAAGGGATGTCATTTTAAACACATTTTTGCAGGATTTTAAAAACAAATGTGTTGATGTCAAATATTGATGAAAGAATGCAAAATCTAGGTTTTTTGCGTACAACAGAAAACCGAAATTATGAATTTTTTAAAATCAATATTTGTCTTCAAACACATTTTTTGGGGAAAATCTTTACAATTTAAATGAAATTTTGCCTCCAAATAGTGGCGAATTTGGGGCTCCCAACACTTAAGAAGGGCTTTAAGAGATACTTAAGAGATGCTTGATAAACTCTTGTTTTTAATTACAGGATTGTCAGTGAAAAGGAATTCTTAAAGCTGTCCAAGCAAATTGAACCTAGCTACTACAAAGAGGTGGGCATTAACCTGGACATCTCCATTGCAGAGCTTGGTCAAATCGAGAAAGAGAGCCAAAATACCAGTGATGCATTGATGACAGTCTTCACGAGATGGAGAGACAAACAGCCTCCAGGCACAGACATTAGGGCTCTTCTTGCAGAGGAATTAGAAAGTAGTGACTTAGGGTCCCTCTCTGGCAAACTACTCGCTGGCAGTCTAGTCCCAAACAGGACAGGTGAGAGTAAGAAGGAAATCATGTCAGCTGCTCGCAAGAAGGCCTTTACTGCCATTGATAATATATTGCTCTTGCAGGGAGCAAACAAACACTGATTTGACACTTTTTCGTTTGGTACAAATAGGGTTATTTTATAGCAGGACATCCCAGTATACGAACAGCCCACGAGACTGAACCCTCAAAATAGTTGTCAGAATACCCATGAGACTAACATTTCAGTCTTGTGGGTTTGTCAGTCCATGGGTAGTTGGTGTCATGGATCTTCTAACAACTTTTCAGATGGTTCGCTAGACAGATATTGTCGGTCTTGTGGGCTGTCGGTCACATGGGCTGTGGCCATTGTTACTTAACTACGACTGTGCCACATTTCATATCATTTTGATGACTCCAGAACCTTACAGTACACACCAATACTTCTATGCTACATGATCAACTTTTTCTGATTGATTCCACACCGCTTCTTTCACAATCCAATCGCATGACCAGAACTCAACTTTATCTTTAATACCTAAAGACAGATTTTTTTGAGATACTTAAAAAAAGAAAACAAACAGACATGTCATGCATCAACAAGGGTATACATGTATGATGGATGTGCAGAAATAAAACTGCAAAGACATGAATGAATGAAATGTAAAGTTGACAAACAAAAAATACATCAGAAATTTGTTTTTATGTTCATGTGTATATGTTCAGAATATTCTTTAAAAAACATTTTGATATTCAGAAAAAATTATCACACTTGTATTATTAAATTTTAAAGGTTCACCTGTTAGATTGCCAGGATCACAGCCCCAACCACTTTCTCCTGACCTGATCAAGAGATGTGCAGATGATTTGAGATCCAAATACCGGACAACTCTCTGTAAGATCAGAGCTGATCCTCTCATCCCAATTTCCATTGTGCAGTTTGGCGACATGTACACAAACCTTGTCCTGGAAGAGGAATATCGACAATGTAAGCGTCCACTTGAGTACAGTGATCTCTTTAATCTTAAAGTCAATGGAGAGTTTCCCAAGCGGATCATGGTTCAGGGAGAGGCTGGGACAGGAAAGACAACATTCTGTGCTAAGATTGCCTGGGACTGGATAAATGACAGTCCTGCTCTCCAAAAGTTTGTGTGGGTACTTGTTGTCCCTTTTTGTGAAGCCAAACAATACACGATTGGTGAGATTGTCAAGTCGTATCTCTCCAAGGGCAACCCAGCAACAGCCTGCCAAATCACTGAGTACATCCGTTCAAATCCAAAAGATGTATTCATTGCGTTTGATGGATTAGATGAGTTTGATGGCAAGGTTGTACAGCAAAGGAAAGCCGGTTCAAACTTAGACTGTCACCAGCCAAAGTCTGCTGATCAAACCAAGGCAAGATCAAAATCAAAGATGAACAAGAATAAGCGGAGAAAGTTAATGCAACCAAAGTCAGGAAGCCCAACAAGTGCCACTTCGCAGCCAAGAGTCAACAGTGCAGAGGCAAGTGGAAGTTCTTCAGAGAGAGGTGAAATTCCACTTACAGACATTCTTCGTTCAGATGAACTTGCCACTTGCCCGGTGTTGGTGACAAGTCGCCCATGGAAGGTCAAAGAGATAAGATGGGATGATAGTCTGAGCAAACAGTACACTTTTCTGCATGTGGAAGGTTTTAGCAAGGAGAATGTGGAGGATTACATTCACAAGTACTTTCAAGATGATAGGGACAAAGCAGATCAGCTTATCCAATTAACCAAAGACAATGACATCATATCTAAGAATATGGCCCCGTATCCTATCTACATAGCTATGGTCTGTCTTATGTGGAGAGAACTTGGTGACGAAAAACAAGAAAAGTTTAAGTCATTACAAACTTTTTCTCAAATATTTGATGAAATGTTTAAATTCTTGAAGGTGCATTATGCTCAGAAAGAGATCACAGATTTAGACAGCCAAGATTTCCAAGCCTTTCGCTCTCAAATTGAGAAGCTCATGGAACCAGTTGCCAAAGTTGCTTTCATCGGGCTACAAGAAAACACCCTTAGTTTCAAAGAAGGTGATTTTGAACAGTGCTCGGACTCCATTGAAACAGCCTGCAGAGTAGGGGTGTTGTCTCAGGAGAAAAAATTGTCATCTAGTATGTCTCTACAGTCTTCTATCTTCTTTCCACACAAACTCTTTCAGGAGTACATGGCTGGGGTCCATCTTGCTTCCCTGTTTGAATTAGATCACAATGAATTCAACAGGCTGATTGAGCAAGTAGTACTGCCTAGGAAGGAAGAGTTTAGGTATCTCCTGTACTTCACTGTGTCACGGGACAAAACCATCGCACACCATGTCATGAAATGCATGGTACAGGGTATCATCCGAGAGTACTCGGATGTACATTTGTTGGTTGATGTATCCTTTGAGAGTCAGGACCTAGATACTGCAGCCTTGGCGAGGGGTGGAATGTCATATCTGGCAATAGACGGATCCACAACAGCACACACCATAGCAGGTTATATATTCACTGGACTCGGTGTACACAAAGATGTAAATTTGATAGCTTACATATATTAATAAGTATTATTATTTAAAGGGGATGTCCACCCTGATATTATGTTGGTTTGAATAGAAGCAGAAAATAAGAAAAACGGGTCAGTGACAGTTTGAGCAAAAAATTATTTAAAAAACGATTTAAAATTCAAAATTTTCCTATTTTAAATCAGATATTGTTCAAACTTTCAATAATTTGTTTCTCTCCTCCTGCTTTTATTAAAACCAACTTAATATCAGGGTGGACTTCCCCTTCAATTAGGGATAGTTGAAATATTTAGTTGAAATATTTATTGGTTACTGAATCATCATAGGTTATAACAATAATGTGACAATGTCTTTACATGAGTATAAAACATAAGTTAAATTACATTTCCACATTCAGTAAATCATAGATACATACGCTCGAAGAGGTGATGATACAGAAGGGCTACAGCCTAAGCGTGACAGCTTGATACGCTTGCAGCCCAGAAACATTTAAAATCATAACGATTGTAAAGTAAAGTAAATTACAGAACATAATTGGGGGAAAATAACAAAAAATAAACAGTGACTTGCAACCAAAAAAAAAAAATGGGATAGAGGGTGCATGGGAGGGGGATTTTCCTGCTATATCAAGGAAATGCTGACAAACATATATGATATCATGTGTTAATTTAAGAGATTTTTCAATATTTGCTCAATAAAATTGATTTCACACTTTTCTTGAAAGTATATACTGACTTCAAGTTACGGATGTCAACGGACAGTGAGTTCCAAATATCCGGACCAGAATGTCTTATAGATTTCATAGCCATTGTTGTTTTAGGATTACATAAATGGTATTTATTTGATTGTCTGGTTGGGTATGTATGAATATTTCTATTCAAACAAAACATTGGTGGGAAGTGGGAAGGTAGGGAATCATTATGTAGACGGAACATGAACAGTGCTTTTTGTAAAAAGTTGATATCAGTTACTTTCAGAGTTTTTAACCTCGCGAATAGGGGATCAGTGTGATCGCGATATCCAGCATTGGTACACACACGAATCGCTTTCTTTTGTAAAAGTAGCATTTTATCAGTATATACTTTTGAGTCTGCCCACAGTATATTGCAATAAGACATGTAAGGAAGAATCAAGGAATTGTATAGCATATATAGAATATTCAAAGGCACATAATGTTTTAACTTATACAGTAAACCAACAGTGCGTGACACTCTCTTTGAAACGTAATGTACATGATCACTCCATTTCAGATTTTCATTGATGATAGTTCCAAGAAATTTAGTATTTTCTTTTTTCTCCAAATATTCACCATCCAAGACTATTTCAGGTATAGGTTTATCAGTTGCATTTTTCCTGCTTTGAAAATGAATATAATTAGTTTTTTTCAGATTCAGAGACAATTTGTTGCTCCTAAACCACAAAGACAGCTTAGGTAGCTCGGTGTTCAGAATTCTCTGAAGTGATCGAAAATCGGAATTGGAGCAAAACACATTAGTATCATCAGCAAATATAATATATTGTAATGATGTAGTTGAGTTCGAGATATCATTAACATACAGTAGAAACAATAAAGGACCGAGTATCGATCCTTGTGGGACACCACATTTCATAGGCAATAATGATGAATCTACAGATTCGTAGCTTACATATTGCTTTCTACCTGACAAATAATCATTAAACCAGTCAAGAGCAACTCCTCTTACTCCGTAATAATGAAGTTTGCTTGATAGTACCTTGTGATCAAGAGTGTCAAATGCTTTGCTTAAGTCCATGAATACACCAATAACATGCTTTCGAGACGCCAAAGCATTCGAAACCTTATCATATAATTGTGCAAGGGCTAAATCGGTTGAGTGGTATTTCCTGAAACCATATTGATCCTGATTCAGTAAGTCATTTTCTGTTAGAAAACAATATAGCCTATTGTATATAAGTCTTTCCAATACTTTGGACAAACTCGAGAGAATAGAAACAGGGCGATAGTTTGAGACTTGGGAAGAGTCATCCTTTTTGTATATCGGAACAACCTTAGCAATCTTAAATGCTTCTGGAAATGTACCTGTCGTCAGAGAGAGATTAAAAATATGCACTAGTGGGGTTATTATATTTCCTATAACTTGTTTCAAAAGATATGTGCTTATCCCATCATGACCGTTAGCATAGCTTATTTTAAGAGAACGTGCAATATTCAAGATTTCAATCAAGTTTGTTGGTTTGAGAAATAATGACTTGTTGCAGGGAGTTTGAAGAAATTGTGAGAAGTCGACTCCGTTCGAAGCTATTGTATTGGCCTGATTGGGGCCAACCCCAACAAAGTAAGCATTGAAGCAATTTGCTATTTCTTTTGAATCAACCATTGTATTATTATCTTTGGTAATATGACACTTTGATTTACTCTTTTGTTTTTTGAGGGCTTGATTGATCACATTCCACGTTGATGATGCATTTCCATTTGCATTTTCAAACTGCTTGGCAAAATACATTTGTCGAGACTGTCTAATAATGATGGTTAGTTTGTTCCTATATGATTTGTAATTATTCAAGCTTTCCTCTCCTGGGTGTCGAAGACTATATTTATATAATCTATTCCGTTTTTTAATAGAGCAAAAGATACCTTTAGTTATCCATGGCTGCTTGATTCTAACCCAACGGGCATGTACAGACATGCATTTATTTTAGGAATGGGTATTTGATATTTATTTATCCATGATATAAAACAAAATGTGATTGGCAGCCAATGGCTGAATTGTTCACACTTTACAAGCATGTTTTAAAATTACATAAAATACAATACTAAATATGGTAGTGTGGCTTCAATATTTTATGTTTTATAAGTCAATTTTGCAGAAAATTTAGATATTATACAGAAAATTTGATCTTTTGCATCATCTTTCTTCATATAACCCAACGGGCATGTACAGACATGCATTTATTTTAGGAATGGGTATTTGATATTTATTTATCCATGATATAAAACAAAATGTGATTGGCAGCCAATGGCTGAATTGTTCACACTTTACAAGCATGTTTTAAAATTACATAAAATACAATACTAAATATGGTAGTGTGGCTTCAATATTTTATGTTTTATAAGTCAATTTTGCAGAAAATTTAGATATTATACAGAAAATTTGATCTTTTGCATCATCTTTCTTCATATTTTTATATTTAAATCTTAACAAAACTATCAAAATAGTTTTTATCAGGAGTGTGCATTGTGAAATCGTAACTTGCACATATGATCAAAAATTAGTTGAAATTTGCAAACTATGTGTTAACAATCACATAGTGTAACGTCCGAAACACCCTTCTTGAGCTTACACAAAATTATTGGATTTGAAAGACCTGATTTGTGTTTTGACTTGTGCTAAGACTTATAATAACTTATTTCATAATGATAAATTCACTCCAGATACCCTAAAATATGGATTATCATCATTTAAATGGTATTTTTTGTTTCGGACGTTACATTTGTTTCGGACGTTAAAACTGTTAACGGAAATTTGCAATTGCAATTTTATTTTTTTTGGTGGGTAGCCGCCATGAAATGTTTTAAAATGTTACGATAGATCGGTCCTGCAGTTCATATATTTTCTGCTACTTCACATTGAAAGTTGTTTCGGACGTTACAAAATTGTTTAAGGAAAATGAGACAACTTTTTCAAGTTTTGAGTGTATTTCTAATATAAGCGCTACTATAATTAAATGATAATTTCATTTAAGTTAATGACTTGGAGTAACTAATCAGCTTATTCAAACCATATACAATCTCATTAGTTTATTGTTCTAGTGGGTTAAATGAGGGTCTACATTGTTTACGGAAAATGTAACGTCCGAAACACCATTTTCAATTGCACTGTTCCATCAAAATACACGAGTTAATTCAGATTACTGTTAACTTTCTTTAAGATCCACTCATGCTCATTAATCATCAATAGAAAAAAAACATATTGTTTGTGGCTATATATTTTTTTCGGCTCCAACCAAAAAGGTATGTCAATTTTGTTACAAAATTCTGTTAACAATTTGCTGTTCAGGGATACCTCATGCACATAAAGCAACGTTGAAAAATTTTCATTAAGCTATGGGAGGTCAATCTAGGTCAATGCTACAAGAAAAAGTTGTAACTGATTTCTAATTCTTTATCTTTGTAAAGTTTCAGGCTCTCAAAGGGCCATTTAGCTATTTGGTCATAGTTTTTAAAAACAGTGCCACATACCCTCTGTATGGTATAATAATCTAATTAACACTACATAATTTACAATAATGACTAGATAAACGCATTAAACTGAGGATCATGGGATTTTGCTGGTAGTTTTACCTAAGTATATTGCACAACAGATTTATTTATGGCTCCCTCTCCCCCCCCCCCCTTTTTTTACTGTAAATTTAAATTCCAGAGCCTATGATGAGGTAGAGGAGAGCACTTCTTTTGTAGCGCTCCGTTTTACAAAAGACTTCGGAATAGGTTTGTCCATTTTGCAATAATCGACAATATAAAGTTGATCGCAAGGGAGGAAGCCTGTGGTGAAAGTTTGATGATGGGCTGGTCCGAATCTTTTGAAAAGACTCAATGCTAGTTTCTCTCGTCATTCATTGAGAGTGGGCAGTTCCAATTCTTTTAGAGCATGTTGGTAAGTACAGTAGTGCAGTCCAAGCACAAGGCAGCATGCTCATTTTTTGGATTCTTTCAATCTGATTACTTTGGTTTTCAGTTAGCCCAGAGGGCCAAGCAGGGGCACAGTATTCTACCATGGGCCGAAACGTAAGAACAGTAGACAAATTCGATCATTTGCTGGAAGTTTGAATCTGTTTAATATTCTGAGCATGTATAGTTTTGTGCTTGCTCGCTTGACAATATTATTCACATGATATGAACATTTCAGATCATGTTTAACCAGTACTCCAGGGGGATGTTTCATAAAGCTGTTCGTAAAGTTACGCATGACTTTACAAATGACTTATATATGAAAAGCCAAATGGGATGCTCAATCATTTTTAACTGCATCAACTTAAGTTGAACTGTGCAGATGTAGATTAATTATAGTAACGCTGCCTTGCGTCCTTCCGTGCGTCCGTCCGTGCGTCCGTAACAAATTTGGTTTCTGATTGATAACTTCAGTAATGTTTGACGGATTTTGATGAAATTTGATATGAAGGTACATGATATCAAAATACAGGCTAATTTCGTTTTCGGAGTATGTAGGTCAAAGGTCCAAGGTCATAGCTCATTAAATATGCGAAAAACTACACATCTGGTTTCCGATCGATAACTTTAGTAATGTTTGACGGATTTTAATGAAATTTAATATGAAGGTACATGATATCGAAATACAGGCTAAGTTTGATTTCGGAGTATGTAGGCCAAAGGTCAAAAGTCATAGCTCATTAAATATGCGAAAAAATACAATCTGGTTTCCGATCGATAACTTTAGTAATGTTTGACGGATTTTAATGAAATTTGATAAGAACGTTCATGGTATTAAAACACAGCCTAAATTCAATTTCAGAGTATGTAGGTCAAAGGTCATAGCTCATTAAATATGCAAATCTGGTTTCCGATCCATAACTCTAGTATTGTTTGACAGATTTTAATGAAATTTGATATGAAGGTTCATGGTATCAAAACACAGCCTAAGTTCAATTTCAGAATATGTAGGTCAAAGGTCATAGCTCATTAAATATGCAAATCTGGTTTCCATTCGATAACTTGAGTAATGTTAGACAAATTTAATGAAATTTAATATGAAGGTACATGGTATCAAAATACATGTACAGCCTAAGTTCGATTTCTGAGTATGTAGGTCAAAGGTGAAATGTAATAGCTCATTAAATAGGCAAAGCACCCAGCACTATACAAAATCAAATTAATAAAGTTTCAAATAATTTATACACAAAACAACATTTAAGAGAGAAAGAAAGAGATGAGAAGGAAGCATTACAAATTTGCACAAGTCTTCAAGGAGATGTCTTTAATACAATATTTACACTAATGATATTTTTAAGTGGGTATACTACCGGCAATGATGATTATTGACTGTCCATTTTTGTTGTAGTGGAGGGGAGGGGGGGGGGGATGATGTGAAACATACATTATGATAATACTTGAGCAGTATCATTTCATATACCCATCACTATAGGCATATGATAAATATCAACAGTCAACTATTTGAATTAGTTTTATTGGACTACCAACCCTTTTCTGGTTGGAAAATAAACTGTCTGCTTGAAATGGCATCCTACACCTCAGTTTTGCTGCAACCAGTCCTCTTGATCATTTGATGCTCAGACTTCAGAGTAACCCTTAATTTTGATGGATGGAATAATTTAGGGCCCTTTAAAAATGGCCTTTACCATGCTGCATTGCAGATAAAATGTTATAGCAGGCCTTCCTTTGCAAATAAATTTGGGATCATATAGGTTTCGTAGCACTACTCTGATGATATCGACCACTGTATTAAGTAACCATTCTGTAATCATTCAATGAGACTTTCTTAATGCAGGCCGAGTGACAGAAGCATCAACAAAATCTGAGGTGGTCTTAAACTTTATCAATGGACTCTGACTTTCTCATATTTTAATTTTTCGTTTGTTTTGTTTTTGTTTTTGCTCTTGATTTAGATCGATCTTGGAGTAAATGGAGAATTTGGACCAATTATATCACATGATATGGGGGAGATTATATGCTCTGTGCCCTCTCTAGAGTATGTTACACTACTTCGAGCTGCCTTGCACAGTGACTTCTATGCAGTTCTTGCTAAAGAAGGAAACAAGTCCAAGGTGAGTGAAAAAAACACATTGTAATGCCGTAGTCTAGCCTAAGGGGGCGCTTTGTCAAGAAGCAGAACATCAATCGCTTGAAAATTTGAAAAATCACTGTGATTACAGTTGTAGAAAAAAAATTAAGTTGGGTCAGGAATTTAAAAGTTAAAAACTAAAATGTGTATTGTTTTTGTCATTCTGTCACTTTGCATCCTCCCAGTAAGATTTACACGAGGATGTTGCAAAATTTTCTCACAACAAAATACAAAATTGTAGTGGGAGAGGGGGGGGGGGTAAACCTTCCCCCTTCAGTTGCCAAACTTCCTTAAATATCCCACCCACCTCCTCTCCTCCCCTCCCCCCCCCCCCCCCCATTCCTGCCATGACAAGATATTGCTGCCCCTGAATGTTTGATTTAGGGATAAACCATAATAAACTTGAGTATTGAATGGGAAATGCACATTGGGAGTCAATACATGCAAAGTGTTTAAATAATTTAAAGCCTATCAGAAAAGGTTTTTATTGCCAAGTCTTGAATTATATTTAGTGTTCACTTAACTTCTTTCTGATTTTACGTTCATGACATGTTGCATTAACCTCAATTTAAAATTTCTGCATCATGTCAGGGTTTCTTTTTACTATTTAGTTTTGACTATACAACCGTCTGTAGTGTATATTGGATTCCGGACCAAAGTTTGTGAAGTCAAAGAATCAATTTGGAGAATGTTCTAAAGTAATATGAATCAAATATGACATTTATTTTTAAAATTGCCACTCACAGGCCAACAGCTTTTGTGGCTAAAATCACAGTGCACATACCTGCTTAAATGTAAATAAAAATATGGCTGATGATGATGATATCTAATTGAAAAGGGAATTGAGATGAAAATAAGAGATGAACTTGCATTTTAAGAATGCTATTCAATTTGTTGACAAACTCGATTTCCTGGTACATCATAGTTCTTTACATTTAAAGCGACTACCTATATTCTTTATTTCTGATATTACTGTTTTTCTTTCCTAATCACTGTCTGAGTCGCTGCTACTGTCACTGATTTTCGCTGCTCTGATGTCGTATTCGATGTCCTGCATCCTGCTAAATTTGCTTGATAGTCCTTGGTAGCGGCACCCTATGTACATGTAGCACGGTGTTTCCTTCTTAGCACATGAGCAGTTCTTCTTGCACCCTTCAGTACATCTGCATGATATAGCCTTCTTCATTGAAACGGGCCAGGCTTGATGGGTACTTCGAACAGGATGCACGTGCTGATCATCCAGATTCCACCCAAATTCTGTCCAGGGTGGGGTTTTAGGCTTGGCAATGTGTGCTCTCTTATTCACCATCGTTGCAAGGGCATGCAGCTCTCTTTACATGAAGAAAAAATGTGTCTCCTGTTTGGGGGGGGGGGAGGAGCCTTAGGAGAGTATAGATCTGTTGTTCAAAAACTTGTATGCTCTGAGATTGCCCAGATCAGACTCCTTGAAGTCATCACTTGCTGAGGTGTTAATATATGTTGTGATGGCCCTAATACCTCCTTGATTAGTTCTCTGGATATAACGTCAGTGATGGCCCTTGCCTTGGGGTTCTCACCAAGTCAACAATCTCTAGTTCTCCATCACTAGCAATGATCTGTGTCATACGCAGAAGAGCAGCTACTTCATCACTCTTCCCTGATTTAGCTCTTGTGGGCCCAGACTTCTTTTGTTTCTTGTTTTGTGTGTGGAACGTGTTCAGCTTCATAATACTTGTCTTCTTCTGAAGACTGGACAGTGATTGAGACAGTGCCTCCACGCCTATTTGTTTAACACTGCTCAAGTTGTCCTAAACTGTGCAATCAGCTCATTGCCCAGTTGACACATTTATCAGGGATGTTGTAGTTGCTCTGGATGGATTCGTCTCGACTACTACCATTACCTTGATGACCATCTCTGTGTCCCTTGTTACTCGACATACACCAGATTCATTGTTAGGGCTGGGTGAAAGAAGATGCAGCATCGATATTTACTGTGCAGAGACAGATGTGATGGGTTTTAATTGTTTAAACCCTTTTTATCCATGCGGCGGGGTTAGGTGTAATTCCGTCATGACCGCTTTCTTCTTTACTTGGCATCTGCATTTGTCTGTTCAAGAAGCATGTCAGGAGAAACACAATTGTGCTTGCCATCTGCTCTCCTTGCAACAAATGCACCCGCCATAAGTGCTTCATGTACATCAGGGGCTGTTTTAGGAAGATTTTTCATCTCATCAAGATAGAGAGGCAGAGACTGCTTGCCCATATTTGTAATGCCCTGCTGCTTTGAGGTAAGGTATCATTCAATATGATTCACAGACATGTCCTACCCAGTCAGCTTCTCGCTGGTAGTAGTTAAATCTATGCAGAACATCAGGAAGGTGGACCAGAAGATTGCTGTTGGTTGATCAACCATTGATTCTGGGAAAAGTTCCTGAAGGGCTGATAACTGTTCATGGGAATTCTGGAGCATTTGCAACTTTTCAGTGGCAGTGATGTCTTTTTCATAGTGCATTTTCAAGACAGATTCCACCTCAGGCTTCCAGTGATCTGTTTCTCTGTCTGCTGCCCATCATGTCTAGAATGCTTCCTAGTAGAGGCGCCACATAGTTTCGCTCAGGATTCTGAGGGCATGTATGGCCTGGTAGTGTCGGCTTTATCACCAAACATCTTCTTGGCAGCCCCTTCCTGGCACAGACCAGCTGCAACAAGAAAATCTTCTGCACCTGCCGCCCTAAAGATCTGCAAACTGCTTTCATGTAGTTGTGAGCTTGATGAAAGCCACCCAGCAGTAAGACCACATTGCTGAACTCACTACGATGCTTGTCTCTGATGGCTACAGCGAGCTCATATGTAGCCTGATCTCCAGTTATAATTGTGTATTTGTTACCACGTGCATGTGATGTCCTGACAAGTCAAATCATCATTTCCTTTAGTACAGTAGGGTCAGTTGGAGAAGATGGGATCAGAGGAAGATAGCCAATGATTCTAGCCTGTCTATGTGGATGGAGGTCAGCACGGAATGAGGAAAAGCCCGGAAGTCCTGCTTCTAAAACTCTAGGAGCATCCACCAGTTGCGAAGTTGTGATCATTCTACCGAAGCGCCACATAAGCAGAACGTCCTCAGTCTGCATGGCCATCTGAAGAGTGAGTGAGTCTGGAACCATATTGTATGCAGATGTGAATGAAATCTCAGTTGAATTTTTCTCACACATCTTTCTTACACTTCACAATCTGCTCTAAGAATCTTTGATGCTTGCAGGAGTGTATGGTGTTTTCCCTCGATATCATCTCCTTCTAGGCGCCTCAGTTTTGTCAGTGCGTCACCAAGTGGTAATGTGGAAGCACATATAAATCCTGAACCTTTGGTTTGATTGAGAACCAAAATATGCATTTTGTGTAGTCAGTGCTCATATCTTTGGAAGACTTCTTAGCAGGCACATGCTTCATGGACATGGCACTATCTGCCACACGTTTTCTTGGCTGGTTACTCATCTTGCTGTAGGAACCTATAATATAGAGGGGTGTATCATTTGAATAATAGTTGCACTGTATTTATATTTCATATATACCTAACTTTGAAATGTTACTTTACATTAGCAGGCAAACTTTCACTCTTTCTTGTAATTCTTGTAAGATCTTAAAAGACAGACCCAGGAATTCTGAAATTCATCTAGTATGAGGTTGCTTTGGTCAATGTCACCCTCTTATACCTATATCAATTATAAAACAACATTGAGATGGGGGTAATAGGTATATTAGTATTGGATTAACAGGAGCATTGGATGTAACAAACATGTAAAGTCATCACAAAAGGTTGCAAATCCGATTTAAGTGTTGTGATCCAAAACACAAGATGGAACAAAATTTATGCTACATTATATTAAGGTTTATTCTAATCTACAAGTGTTAAAGTGGAACTAGTATAAGAAACTATATATTTATTGGTTCACTTTCTCTTATATTTACATCAGGTAACGTTTTAATACAGAGTCCTTGAGAAGAATCTTCAGGATGGCTCCATAGTGATGCCAGATGATTACATATGGAAATTCTGTAATAAGCTGCTAGATAATATTTTATCAATAATCCAAAAGTTTGCTAAGAGTAAAAATATTCTGATTTGAGTTAGCAAAACTTACTACATCCTCAAACCTGCAACTGAAATTCCTACCTCATACCAAAAGGTTCAAGCTGGTTAGGAAGTTTCTGATAGTTTCTTCATCATTCTATTAGTTGAAATGTACTTGTAATGTTTGATTTCCTGTCTGTCTGATGTTGCTAACAACTCTGTTTAGTCATTTATAGAAAAAGGGAAGAATGCAATTAATCATTCACGTTTCAGTTGCAAACTTGACACATACGGTATGCGGCAATGATGACTCATATTAAATGTATTATCAGGGAACTAAACTGCATATTGTCCAAAATGAACTTTGTTATGCTATAACTTTTTTTACATGAAAAGCAAAACATCTGTAATTTTCAGATCATATTCAACTAATATTACATACCTGCCAACCCTTACAAATAATCCGGAATATTCTGTTTTTCTGGATTAGTCATTTATAGAACTTCATTGAAATATTTGTAGATCCAGACAGGATTCCATGTTTTATTTGACCATGTCATAAAAAAACCAAGATTCTACAATTACCTTACACAATTTGTATTAATTACAAATCAGAATTCATAATTTTTGGGTGAATTTATGAATTGCCCCTGCCACTTGTGTCTCCCCCATCGCCCAGCCCAACCGTTCACTGTCCCTTCAATCATTAAGAAAAAGGATAGAATGCAATTAGATGATTCATGTTTCAGTTGCAAGGGCAAACCTGACAGATATGCGGCAATGATGACGCACGTTAAACGTATCATCAAGGAACTGGTCTGTGCATATTGTCCAAAATGAACTTTACTACGCTATACATTTTTTTACATAAAAATCAATGAACCTGTAATTTTCAGATCGTATTCAACTAATATTAGGAAGGTTTTCTATATATTTTTAATTCTTCAGTTTCAAAAGTTATTGAAATATGGAGAAATAACTCCACCAGGTGTAAATGGGTACCTGATATTATTCAGCACGAGTTACTTTGGCAGCTCGGCTACGACCAGGGTAATATGCGTAAAGCACCATGAGCGTCAGAGCTTGGCGGATACTGGTGCTATATAATTATCCTATTATTTATTATTATTATTATTATGTAAAATAAATTCAATCATCATGAATGTGGTATCATCTTGTAGATAATTTAATTTTCTTTCATTGATACCACATGCATGGTAAAATGATGTTCTGTTACAAAATTATCTTCTAATTATTGACTATTTTTTTTCCAGAAAAATAATGTCAGGGTAGTCCACCTAGAAATTGTGCAGGAAGATCCTCTGATCATGTTTATACCGACCGACCTACAACATCCCGACCAAAACCCCCCAAATTAAGGTTTTGCCCCCTAGGTATTCTGCTATTTTTGTTGTTGCCTTGATGGTATTATGTCTTCATTCAACAGAACTATAGTACATACAAATTATTAAAACATAGCAGGCCACATAATACGAACCACAAAGGAAAATTATTGTAAGGAATGTATATGTTCTATAGCTAGACCACTTTCATGTACAATATAACATCTATTATTATAATCATCATAATCATTTTAAGCTTGTAAATAAAATTATCATTCTTTAAACTCTCTAATAGAATATTATCTTTAGCAATGCTGGTCTAAATATTTGAATTACAATGAAAAGGTGCTATACTGAATATTTTACTGGGAAGATTTGCATTTAATTCACATACCTCTAAAATACAGTAGAATCACTGCAATTCGCTCCTACGCTCAGGAATTCCTGATCTTCCTCTTACCTGAATCTTCAGTATGGTCATATCCTATTGGACTGTCTATCCCTGACTCTTGACAAAGGCCTTATATTTTCATGCACTTTTGATCTAACTATAATGTACATAAAAATCACCTGAAGGTACTAAGTATTTTAAAACATATAAATAATACACATTCTGACTTCTCACTGTCTGATTTAACTTATAAAAGTATACAAAGGACTAATATTGGGAAAACAACTCTGTGCAAATAAATACTAGCCCCAACAAGACCCTTTCATTGATGCGGTCTCTGACCACATGTTTACAAAATTCCTGCTCCCCCTCCATCAACCAGTGTTAACCCTATTTAGCCCGGGGGGGGGGGGGGGGGGGGGGGCTTTAGAAGCCCCCCCCCTCGACATTTTACGCGATAATTTTTTAACGCAAGAAAATCTTGCACTGAAATTTTGTGACTTTTTTCTCTCGAGTCTTGCGCATCTTCTGAAAGAATTTTTTTGAAAATCAAACCTACCATTATGAAGTCACGTGTCATTTTGTCTTTGCATGTCAGCCCGAAAATCGCTCATTTTTGTGATTTGTGTACAAAACATATGGAAATCTCATTTTTCAAATAAAGAGATAAAACATTGGTTATTTGGTCTTGTTTATAGTTTAGGTGTTTATTTTTGGATCCAAATAGTTGAATTATAGTTGGAAATAAAATAAAACAATAAAAACAATAAACTACATAAGTTAAAAAAAAACAAAGAAATACATAAAAAATTATCAAAACAATAGATAACATAAGGAATGACCCTGGTTTTTCAATTTTTTGTGTTGTATTATTATTCCAAATGGTCTAAAAAATATATGTAGTGAGAAAGAATGCTTAAAATATGAATAATGTCTGATTTATGGGCAAAAATGTGAATTTGATGACCTTATTTGCATAAATTACCATAAATATGCTAATGAGTGAATTTTTCAAAAAATTAAAATTACCATAGTATTCTATACACTTCACTTGACATGTATGCAAATTTTCGCGACGATCGGGCATTTCACGGCCGAGATCATAGGGGGGGGGGGCCTTAGAAGCCCCCCCCCCCCCCCCCCCCCCGGGCTACGCATTTTCAAAATAGCCCGGGCTAAATAGGGTTAAACCTATTTCAGTCGTTCAATTTCTGTACAGATCAAGACTCTCTGCCTTCATGATGTTGAGTGCCTCACACCAGCCTCATCACATGATGACAGCTAGTAAACAAAAGTTATATAAAGAGAAACATACATGTTGATCTAGAAGTATATGTAAATTAATGAAATTGAAAATATATTTGGCAAATTAACGTAACCTTCATATTGTAGTTATGTTCAAGATGAGCTGGGTATTACTCAGCGTCCTGTGTTTGTTTTTGTTCATAAATATTTTGGATGGATGCAATTACTCAGATGAATACGCAGTAGTTACATGTACTACGGCTATAATAGTAAATCTTAGTCCTATAAATCTTTTTTGATGCATTTTCTGCGCCCACTACCCTGAACTAACCGATTTCTGAACTTAACCCAGCACTAAAATCTATAATAAACCGTAAGACTAAACCTAAGCTCAAAGCCTATTTGCAGCTCTCATGCGGATCCTATATATATTTGTGACTTAATAAAGCCCAGAACATTTGTCAACTGAGCTTAGCCATACACATACATGTATATTGGAGCACCCAGTTATATTTGCAGTCATTCAATAAATACATGTATTCTGGTAATGTACTTTAATGAATCACTGTTTGTATCACTATGTAGTGAGAAAATGCACTATGGCTGTGTTTGTCGATCCTCCTGTTGTTTTAACGCCTGCCCATCAACAATTTTTCTGTGCTTTCCATCCTGTACTAACCAAATTCTTAACTTGATCCCTGCACCAAAAAGTATTCCTATCACTAAACCTGAGCTCAAACCTATTTGTAGCCCTTATCCAAATCCTATATTTGACTATATAAAGCCCATTGCATTTGTCACCCAAGCATAGCCATACACATACATGTATATCAGAGCACCCAGTTATATTTGCAGTAGTTTAATGAAAACGTGTACTCTGGTAATGTACTTGTATGAATCACTGTTTGTATACATGTAGGTCCAATCTGTCACGCTCATTGACAATAGGTGTCCAACATCAGCCTCTTCACATTACCTAGCGGATGCTTTGTGTTCCATGCCAAACCTGACTCACCTGCAACTACGTGGAAAGGAGTTCCAGGAGGAGTTCTATTCTACACTGAATGCAAAGGTGTCAACCTTACAGGTGTGTATGTGTGTTTGTACTCTGTATCCATGCCATGATGAATTCATGTACACATGCAGCATTGGAGATGAGTTTAAGGAGTTTTTATGCCTCAGTTACGAAGTAGCCGGAGGCATTATGTTTTCGGGTTGTCTGTCCGTCCGTACGTCTGTACACACGTCTGTACATACGTACGTCCCGTTCTCGTGATCACGTTATCTGAAGAACCAATTGATGGATTCCTGCCAAACTTTGGTCATGTATGTATCTTGCAAAGCCGATGAACTGATTAGATTTTGGGGTCACGAGGTCAAAGGTCACAGGGCTCATTATGTATGCAAAAACAGCTCGTGATCGCGTTATCTGAAGAACCGATTGATGGATTCCTGCCAAACTTTGGTCATGTATGTATCTTGCAGAGCCAATGAACTGATTAGAATTTGGGGTCACGAGGTCAAAGGTCAAAGGTCACAGGGCTCATTATGTATGCAAAAACAGCTCGTGATCATGTTATCTGAAGAACCGATTGATGGATTCCTGCCAAACTTAAATCATGTATGTATCTTGCAGAGCCAATGAACTGATTGGATTTTGGGGTCACGAGGTCAAAGGTCAAAGGTCACAGGGCTCATTATGTATGCAAAAACAGCTCGTGATCGCGTTATCTCAAGAACCGATTAATGGATTCCTGCCAAAATCAGGTCATGTATGTTACTTGCAGAGCCGATGAACCGATTAGATTTTGGGGTCACGAGGTCAAAGGTCAAAGGCCACAGCGCACATTATGTATACAAAAACAGCTTGTGATCGCGTTATCTCAAGAGCCGATTGATGGATTCCTGCCAAAATTAGGTCATGTATGTTACTTGCAGAGCCAA